TTGAAATTTAAACCGATAAGTGCTAATTAAATCATGTGTTAGCAATGTAGACATCCTGCAATTCTTGGGGATTTATGTGTTTCATTTTAAGACAGGGCCTCATTAGGTGGCCCAGACTGGTCTCAAAATTGAAACCCCCCTGCCCCTCTACCTCCTTAGTTCTGGTATTACCAGTATGTGCCACTATGCTTAGATTTCTGGTGATGTTAAAAGTATGAATTTCCCGCTAAACTGTAAGCCACACAAGAGTAGAGAACACTTCTATTTTTCCAAACCACTTTGTAACTTGGGCTATGGTTTCCAGCACTATTAGCAGCTTAACAAATACTTGGGCCAGTCAATTACTCCTAATATGTCTTAAACATACACAAAGACGGAACTTTTCTCTTTTCCCTGCTCTGGCCCCCAACCCTCTCCAGTGCTGGGGACTGAACTCAGGCTTTGTCCATTCTCGATGCTCTACCACTGAGCTACATCCTTAGCCCCCTAAGTGAATCTTTTGACTCTGTTTCTGCCTCACCTGCCAATTTTCCTCAATACTGCTTTCTCCCATCTTTCCTACCTTAGAAAGGGGCATCACTTTTACCAAGTCATTTAAGATAAAAACAAGCAACAGCAAACCAAACCAATGAGGACCCATAATTCTTCCTTCCATCATTCCCACATCAATCCATCAACAATATATCTTGACTTCCTTCTACTTCCACAAACACTTACAAATCACCAGCATCTTGTTTGAAATAGCGGGGTTCTATTGGTCTGGTTGTGTTGTGTTTGTTTTTGAGAAAGGGTCTCCTTATGTAGCCCTGACTGTCCTGGAACTCACTGTGTAGACCAGGCTGGCTTCGAACTCAAAGAGCTTCACCTGCCTCTGCCTCCCTAGAGCTGGGATTAAAAGTGTGGGCCACCCATATCTGGTGTCTGTTTGAAACACTGTAGCGGATTTCTAGTTACCCTTTTACTCTTTTGTATATAATGACTGCTTTATTTTATTTTACTTCAGGTTTCAGCAAGAGTGATCTGAAATATAAATCAGTGGGGCTGGAGAGATGGCTCAGTGGATAAAATATAAATCAAGCCATATCTCCCTTATGGAAAATTCTTGATTTCTATTCGCACACAGAATAAAATCAGATGGTTCCAGCAAAGCTAGGCACCATCTAGCCCTAGCCTCCACTCTGGCTCACTATGTTTCAACTACAGAGGCTTTCTGGTCTGTCTGTCTTACGGTTCTGTTCTTCTTGAACCCCAGCCCCCCTTTCACACGGACAGCACCTGCACGGCCTTCCATCTTCTCTCTCAACTTCACCTTCTCCAAGAGGCTGTTCTTGTCAACTCTACAGAAAGAAACACTCTCCCTTACAGTTCTGTTACCATGAGATCTAGTGTCTTCAGACCAGACTTATGCCCAGAAATCAGTTTATCCATATATTACCGAGTTCTCCTCCCACAGAACGTAAGTTGAAGGCATCAGCTCTGTGCCTAACACAGGGCCTGACATCCAGTAACCACCCAGCATTTCCTGAATAAACAGTCCTCAGTTCAATCCATCATGCCCTTTTAAACAGTCACATTTATAATAAATAAATCCGTCTCCTTGACCTCTTCTCACTTTCTTCTACGACGGTGACAAGTGGGAATGATGAAAGACTGCTTAAGTCCATGGATTCAAGAGAGTGGCGCCAATGGTATACCAGGAGAGACTGTAGGATCTGTCTGTCACTAGATGAACTCCAACAGTATACCAGGAGAGACTGTAGGATCTGTCTGTCACTAGACGAACTCCAAGAGTACACCAGGGTGAATTGTCACATCTGGTCTGTCACTAGACGAACTCCAACAGTACACCAGGGTGAATTGTCACATCTGGTCTGTCACTAGCCCTGACTCTTTCTACATTATGGGCCAAGAGAGTCAGTGGGAAGAAAATCTGCTTTTTATTACTTCCTCCAGATGGGCGTTTCCTTTTCCTAACTTAAAATTCATGACATTCTTTTTCTGGATTCTAGGCTATTACATAATCCCTCAAATGTCAACTCCTTGAAACTTGGCCCTTAATGTTACCCATCTCTCTCTCTTTTGTATTCTTACAAAACGTCTTAAATAGAAACAGAGCCACTAAGGTGCCATAAGACACAGTCCCCAAGCCTGCAGCACGGGCTCTTATCCCATCCTCCAATGAGATAATCATTGAGCAAGCTGCAGCACTCGGCTACCTTCACCCCCAAGAATAGAACAGTCAGGGCAGATACTGCAGAAGGGGTCAGTGACCTGGAAAGCTTTGTACCAGAGGAGACAATCTTGGATAATGAGAGGGGAAATGAGACCGTATGAACAGGACTACAAACCAGGCCTTCACTGAAACACAATTTAATAATTGTGTTCTCAATTTCTGCTTCAGACCTCTACAAATCCACAGTGGAAGCTTTTGTCCATTATATTATCCAATGCCCTTCAGATAAGAAACCCACACTATATGCTTCCCAGAATTTAGTGCGAGGAACGAGTCTCAATTTACCATCAAACTTGGGATTACTCTTTTTATCGAACAATGCAAACTATATGAAGTCACACACGTCTTGATGGGAGGGCTACTGGCAATAACTAGCCCAGTGTGTCCCGAAGTGGTATAAAGTTAAATAGCACGCATTTTTTCTTTCCACAGCGGTTTGAGATATAAATCACATCTTGTGAAGTTCACCCTTTTAAAGTGTATTAATTCAGTTATTTTCAGCATATTCAGTTATATAATTTCTATCACCCCAAAGAAACTCACATCCAGCTGCTGTTCTCTAACTCCTCAGCAAATACATGTCTTTGTCAAAGGACCCCTTGAACCTTTGGGGTTTTTTTTTTTCTTTTTTTTTTTGTGTGTGTATGTGTGTGTGTGTATGTATGTGTGTGTATGTGTGTGTGTGTGTACATGCCACATTTGTGCAGGTGCCTCTGGAGGCCAGAGGAGGATATCAGATCCCCTAGAACTAGAGTTTCAGGTGCGGCACCTAATGTGGGTGCTGGGAACCGAACCCAGGTCTTCTGCAAGAGCAGCCAGTGCTCCTAACCACTGAGCCATCTTCCCAGCCTCCTTTTTTTGGTTTTTCAAGACAGTTTCTCTGTGTAGTTTTGGTATGTCTGTCCTGGATCTCGCTTTGTAGACCAGGCTGGCCAGGAACTCACAGAGACCCCCCTGGCTCTGCCTCTCGGATTAAAGGCTTGCGCCACCAGGGCCCAGCTCCTCGGACCTTTCATTGTGAACTTTTAAGATGGGCTACAATGTAGTGTGTTTCATTCACATTCACACATTGTTTCTTCCTTCCTTCCTTCCTTCCTTCCTTCCTTCCTTCCTTCCTTCCTTCCTTTCTTCTTTCTTTCTTTTTTTTTCTCTCCAGTTCGGCTTTTCATTTTTTGTTTATTTTTTATTATTTGAGGCTGGCCTGGGTCTTGTGGCAATTGTAAAGCACTACACCTGGCTTGTCCAAATATAGTTAAGAGCTAACACTTTGGTGTCTGCTATGCTAAACCTCAGTTAATCCTCACAGTAAAAATCTAGAAGAGAGGTTCTCAACCTTCCTAATGTTGCAACAGTTCCTTATGTTGTAGTAACACTCAACCATAAAATTATTTCATTGCTACTTCATAACTGTAAATGTGCTACCGTTATGAATCGTAATGTAAATATCTGTGTTTTCCCATGGACTTCGTCGACCCCTGTTAAAGGGTTGTCGTGTCCCACAGGTTTGAGAATCGCCAATCTAGAAGGCACCATATATAAGGATGTGAATATTAAAATTAAAAAAAAGATTAAGGCAAAGTAACTTGCTTAAGTTTTCCTGAAGGCCCTACTCTACAATAGTGGGAGATAAGAAAGGTTAACCAGTATTCTACAGATCGTATCTTTGGGCTAACTAGAATACAGACAGGTAAGGTGAATTAGTCAGGAATTCATATTATTCTTTCTTTCCTTTTCTATTAGTTTCCTTATTAGTGTATAGCTAAATATAAACTAGAACTCAACTAACTAACTAATCCTGACAAAATCCCTCCCTTCTTCAAATGCCTGCCTTAAAAAAAAACCCTTAATTTTAATATTACAGATTTTCTTAAAAACCTTGTTGAGACTGAGTCTGTTTTTCCCTAGGTGCCTCATCCTGTAGGCAACACACTCCTCCATTACCTCCGTCATACAAACCCCAATCATCTTCTGATGGCTAGTATAGGTAGACACTTGGTCTTTCTCATCTCCTAGGTGAATGTCACCCCTCCTGCACCTCTCCTCCGAATATGTTGGCCTGAACTGGAACTACTTGGAACTCCCGTCTTATGCCACCTCTCAGCCTGAGGTCTCCCGGGAAGCACAAGTTAGCGTCAAGTCCAAAAGCCGAGCAAGTGCGGGACAATCCTAAGCGGTCAAGCTTCCTCTCCATCTCGGAGGTAACTGATCTATGAAAGTCCAAGAACACCTCTCTCCTCCAGCTGGCCGGGCGGCCCCGGGGTGATTTAGCGGTTTGTAGTCACCCCCGTGCCACCAGCCCGGGATCAGACGGACAGTGCACCCACACTTGTAAACTTACCGCCGCTCAGGCCGAGTCAGTCAAATCAAGTGACAACAACTGGCTGGGCAGCGGGAAGAGGGCTGCACCGACGAATCCCGTCCGCCCGGCGGGACTATCCGGAGGCCAGGCGCCTCCCGGCTTTCTGACAGGGACCCCCGCCAGGCACCAGGGTCGGGCAGGGCAGGGGGTCCCTGTCTGGGAGGTGTCAGAGCAAGGCCTCGAACCCAAGTCACCACCCCTCGGGCTCGGAAGATCTTCAGCGTGGAGAAGGCGAGCGAGGGGAGCGGGGTCCGGGTTCCGCCCCCCGCACGGCGCTCCAGACCCGCGAGGGTCCACCCGGCCCGCGGGTCTGGGGGCGCTCGCACCCCGCCCCCGGCCCCGCGCCATCTTGGAGCGCTGAGGCGCTGGCTCGGGACCGCCCCGACCGTGGCTCCCGGGGCTACTCACCCGCGCTGCCCGGGGCCAGGCCCCCCGTCACCTCCGCGACCCCCGCCGCGGCCAGAAGCAGCAGCAGCAGCGCGCTTCGCGGGGAGGCCCGGACGCTCGCCATGTCCGGGCCGGGCGGGTCCGAAGCCGCGGGATGCTCGGACCCAGCCTGGCCGCCGCAGCCGCTGGCACCAGACCCCGCCCCCAGCCCCTTGGACCTCTGGTGATTGGCTGCGGCGCCCCGAAGCCCCGCCCTGGCCGCTCAGAGTTTCCAAAACCTCCCGGGGGGCGGCAGCGCGCCCTGGACCCTGGCTCTTTGTTATGGGCCAGCTGTGTGTCGCCTTCGGCCTCGGGCTCCCGGGCAGCATTCTCCAAACGGGAAGTCAGAGGCTGGAGACCCCTTTGGAGCGCCTCTGCCGTATGCCGGGGTAATAGGGGGCCCCCGCGGCTGAGAGGCGACTGCTCTACCAAGTCCGTCTGAAATCCAAAGGCTAAGTCAAACCTGAACCGCAGCGGGGGAACCGGCTACCTGCGTCCTCCTGAATACTCAAGATCCTGTCCAAGTGCTGCTTCCACCTAAAGAAGGCGTGTCGTCTGGCCTCCCCTCAAGGTCAAAGGGCTCTGCTGAAAGGCTACGAGCTCACAGGGTGGCCTCGCTGTGCCATTCACGCACTGTTAATACCTATACTTAATACCTAATACCAGAGAAAAGGGCAGGGCAACTTGTATGACTAGACTTGGAGAGCCTTGAAATTCATAGTTTGTTGGAGAGGGTCTTCCCATGCCACTCTAGCATCTACGGTGGAGAATGCTCCAGAGGGTCTACTAATCAAAGCTAATAATTCACTGTGTAGGAGAGCTTCCCCTCTTCCGGACTGTCCAGCCCTTGAACAGACAGCGAATCCATTTCAGAGTTACCTTGCTGTTCAGAAGTGAAGTCAATTGCTTATTTCCAGTTTCCTCTGTTCAGGTCACTAAATGCAGTTAGCTTTCCTCGGAGTCAGATGGTAGCAATGACTAGTGCAAAGAGCAAGGTCTTGATGCACTCCTGAGTCCAGACTGTACACTACTCACAACTAGCCCTGTGTCTATGGGTGAGGACATTTTACTTCTGAGGCTCCCCCTCCAAACCCCCGGTCTTCTTGATAAGATTAACGAATATATATTGTGTTTATTTATTTATTTATATTTGTATTTTGGAGACAGGGAGGATCTCATATAGCTCAGGATGACCTTGAACTTACTATGAAGACAAAGCTGGCCTTGATTTCCTGATCAAGTGCTGAAATTATATGCACCCAGCTTCATACTGTATTTAGAATGTCTTGACAGTTGGATATTGTGAACATTCTGAAACTGGGATCTTAATTTGGGCCATGGGACTCAATGGCTGAACTTATTTCCCAACCTGCCCTGACCGCTTTGTACTTCTTTAAAACAATAGACTTTCCTTTCTTTAAACATTTTTTGAGGCTTTTATACATGTGCACTGTATTACGTTATTGCTACCCCACCCTCTTCCCCTTTCAACTAAGGCTTTACGTTTTAGGACAGTTTTAGGCTCACAGCAAAGTTGAACGGAAGGTACAGAAAGTACATGGCTCCTGACCTTCCTGCGCACAACTTCATCTATAACCACTGTCCCCCACCAGTGGTACGTCCGTGACAATGAGCACGCCTGTGCTGACACACCAATAGGATTCACTATGGGGACTGCACAGTCTGTGTGCTTTGACAACTGTATAATGTTTATCTACCACTGTTCCTTTTAACTTTTAAAACTGTAGCTGCTAGAAAAATTGAGGTTCACTGTGGAGGCTCACACTATATTTCTGTTCTACAATGCTGGTGTAATGTTTCACTTAAAAATGATTAATGATTGGAGATCAATATGGTACTTGAAAAAGATTTAATCACCAGTAACTGATTGTTCTGAGGCAAAGAGCCATCTCTCTGTATTTTAGTTGAAGAAAACTCATTAAGTCTCCTGCCGCACTGTCTTTAAGATTGAACCCGGGGCCTCACACATGGTAAGCAGGTGCTGTACCACTGACCTATGTCCCCAGCCCCCTCCCACAAGTCTTTTGGTTAATGGTTTTGTGGTGTGTTTTCCTTGTGATTCTATCCCTCCTTTTTATTCCTTTTGAGACAGGAAGACTGGCATCAAACTTGAAATCCTCCTGTCTTAGCTTCCAGAGTGTCCCAATCCCTTTATTTTTCAAGTATAGAAGTTTCCTTTGTGCCTTTCTTTGTCTCTATTCCCCTCTTCATAATATTCATGCCTCTCCCTTTATATTCTTCATAACATTTATTATTTTATAATGGCTATTTAATGTCCTTGCTTGATAATTCTATCATCTATGTATATATTTATATTGATTTTTCCAATTACGAGTAATATTTTCCTTTTTCTTCACATGCTGGATAGATTTTGATTGTATGGCACACGCACACATGTCTGGAGTGCTAAATTGTATGTGTGTGTGTGTGTGTGTGTGTGTGTGTGTGTGTGTGTGTGTGTGTTGTAAGGAATGTTACTGGTTTTTTTTTTTTTCTGGCATGAAGTTAAGTTACTTGAAGATCTACTGAGACCACACATCTGTTGCATTGATGTCACCACACTTTCCTTTCATGTGATTAAATGTGTGTATGACAAGTGCTTTAAAGCCCTAGTCCACTCATTCCCACATCTGGGTAACCCTGGTGAGGATTTCTAGTGACTGCTTTCAATCTTGATAACTGATTGCATTTTCTAATCTCTTCGTGACTAATACATTTTTACTCTACAATAGACCTAGGACATAAAAGCCCGGTGGACCCCTAGGACATAGCTTGTCACTGCAGCAGGAAAACTGGAAACTGTAGAAATAGAACCAAATGGGCAGCCTAAACCTGTAAATAAAGTACAGTCCATGAATTAACATTCTACACATTGGAAATGATAAAATAACTTGAAGCCAAATCAATGAAAAATTATTCAGTCCCAAGAACAGGAGGTGGAGGAAAATGAGAAGAGAGTAAACGGGTCGTTCCGTGTCTGATGTATGCAGAGCTGGATTCCTAGAGGGAGAAGAGATTAGAGAGCAGAAAATGATCGAGAGACTGGTACCTGAAAACCTCCCAAATGCAGTGGGAAGCGCACAGAAGCCTGAGTGCACCCTAAGAAGAACAAATTCAAAGAAATTTCACCCTAGACATCGTAATCAAACTGATGGATAAGTATAAGATGACTGACTACTAATAGGGAGATAATAATCACACAGAAGGTGGCTGACATTTCTCCAGAAGCAATGGAGGCCACTCAACCACTGCCGTCACCCTAGTCCACCATTCTGCCTGGCCTGGCCTGTCGAAGTAGCTTTAATTGACCTTGATTTTGTCCATTAACCTCTAGAGTCTCTTTTCAATAAAGCAATTAGAGTGACCCTTGAAAACAGCCTGGTTTGGTATTCTGCAGAACTTTCTCAAGTCTTCCCATCCCACGCAGAAAACAAGGATCAGATGTGGCACAGCATCTCTCCAAGTCTTGCCTCCTTACCTCTCTGACCTCATTTCTCACTGTCCCTGGGGCTCACCACACTCTCCAGCCACGTCTTGCTCTGTGCCTTTGCTTAATTTCTCCACATGACTCTGGCTTGGGTTCTTTGCACAGTCCTTCCTCTTCTTGGTGAAAGAAACTTGAGTACAGTTTTGGCCAGAACTAGAGAGAGAAAGGTCTTCGCTCTCTACCGTTTGCAGAACATCCGATGCCCTCTTCTGGCCTTTGTTTGTATAGAAGACTCACATACATGGGGAGACTCACATACATGGGCGCGCGCGCACACACACACACACACACACACACACACACACACACACACACACACACACACATTTATTTAAAAAAGAGGATGGAACAAAAGCCAGAGGATGTGCATATATAGATTTAGCTGTGAGGCACTTACAGGAACTGTGAGAAATCTTCCCTGGGAGTTGCTGTTCCTCTGGCTTTCTTCACTTCTAATTTAGGATTTCTTAGATCAGTTCTAATTGTTCAGGGTTCATGCTATACACATTGGTCAGGGCATGACGTACGTGTATAACAAAAGACATGGCATGGAAGAATGCTTCGATCAGTCAGACACAGCCCTTTACGTCCTTATCAGTCTCCAATGATATGATTCCTCTAGTGTGGGAAGAGAAGTCCAGAGGAGAATAAGGGGTTTGCTTGTGAGGGATGCACCAGGTGGGTCACAGAAACCCTAAGAAGGAGATCTGGGCCTCATTTGCTATGTGGAACTCAAGGAAGTGGCAGTTCTTAGGACATTTCTCTGCACACAGCACCTGAGGGCAGCTTCCAGGGTGTGTTTTTCCTTGCTCCCCACAGAAGAGCAGGTGGGCGTTTTCTATGCCCCTCACAAAAGGCAATGTAAAAGTTTAGCAAGCCAAGATCCCGAAGAGCCCTCAAGTTCAGAAGGCGGGAAGCCCAGAGCTGTTGTGTTCGTGGCCTGCACAACTGGCAGCCAGATGAGAGCACAGGTGTCAACAGCCGCTGACAATGGCAGCTGAGGACCAGATGTCCTGCCTTCTCCCAGGCCCAACTGCTGGCATTGGCCCTGTAAATTTCTTTCAAAACTGGGGAAGATGTTTGAGAGTAGTCTTGGCTAAATTAGGATTTCCCTGAACTGAGGTTAAGTTTTAATCAGTCACTGGGAACGGGATGTGCAGAGGCAATTGTTTATCCATTAAAGATCAGAGCATACCGTCTAAAACTTGTTGCTAGGAAGCAGCTTCCTAGCCAGGCACAATATTTTCCAGTTGTGCATCATGCTTACTATTAGTTTAATAACTGGGAATGTGGCCTTGGAGAACAAAGTCTGCCTGTTGCCTTGGAGCAGAACCAGCATAACTGAGGCCTGTTAACTCTTCTAGTGAGCTCTCAAGACAGGAAAAGTCTTTCCCCACAGCATCCAACGCTAACGTATTATAAAATTCACTCTCCGACCTGAGATGCCTGGACACTATTCTGCCAGCCTCCAAACAGCTCTCCAAAGACGTGAGCACGTATACCTGGACTTCTTCCTGTCTTCCACTCCCTTTGCCTATTCATTTCTACGACATTCAGACTTAAGCTACTTCAGGGGCTGGGGAAAGGACGCAGTGGTTAAGAGCATACGCTGCTCTTGGAGAGGACCCAAGTTTGGACCTGGCACTCATGTCTCACAACTGCTTCTAACTCCAGCTTCAGGGGATCTGGTGCCCTCTTCTGGCATCTCTAGACATCTGCACTCACTGCACACATCTCCACCCCACCCCCCACACACATACACATAGTTACAAACATTTTTTGTTGTTGTTTTTGGGGTTTGCTTTTTGTTTTTGTGTTTGAGACAGGGTCTCACTATTCTGTCATGGCTGTCCTGAACTCATTATGTAGACCAGGCTGGTTTCAAACTCACAGAGATCAGCCTGCCTCTGCCTCTGGAGTGCTGGGATTAAAGGTGTGCACCACCACACCTGACCTTTAAAAACATTTTAAGACAACTTTTATTTTAGGGCTGAGGTGTGAGTATTAGAGAATTTGCCTAGCATGCAACTCTGGGTTCCATCTCCAGTACTGAAAAAAAAAAGGTATTTTATTTATTAGCAATAGAATCCACATACAGATGAGAGTCTGAGACAGGATCTGACTGTGAAGCAGAGGCTGGCCTAGAACTTGATCCTTCAGCTTCCTGTGTACTGAGAGTCTAGGCATGTGCCATCATGCCAGGCTGGATTTATGTTATGATTTCAAACTTGGGGGTGGAGAGATGACTCAGAGGTTAAGAGCACTGGTTGCTCTTCCAGAGGACCAGAGTTCAATCCCAAGCATCTACATGGTGGTTCTCAACCACCTGTAATTCCAGTTCCAGGGGATCTAATGTCCTTTTCTGGCCTCCTCCGGCACTGAACACACATGGGGAGCACAGATATATGTGCAGGCAAAACATTCATACATGTAAAATAAAATAAAAACAAAATTTAGAAGTTCAAACAGTTCGAAGACAAAAAAGGAGAATTCCAAGGCAATAAGTAAGGTTTGGATGAATGGGAAAACTTGACATTTGGAATTACAAATGACTAAAGCAGCCACGCAGGTTGAACTTTCAGCATGTTCCCGTATTTTGGTTTTGTTTTGGTTGATCCACACACAGGAATAGTTTGCAAAGGGTCATGCTTTATTTTCAATAGCTCATTTTGCAACCTCAACAACTTAATTAAGACAGCATGGGGTAAAAAAAAAAAAAAAAAGCACTGTGAAAATTTTGACCCAAGATTGATTCATGCCCATATTGCCAGAATTTGGGAAGTTGAAGCAGGAGGAGTACCATGAGTTTGAGGACACCCTGGGCTACAAATTAAGTTCTAGGTCAGCCTGGACTAGAGTGAGACCTTATTTCAAACAGCAGTAAAGACTGATTTATGAAAACTTTTGTGCACACAAATCCCAGCATATGCGGAGAGACATAGAGCAGAAAAGTTTATTCATAATTGCAAAACTTGGAACCAAGAAGACGTCATTTGATAAGTAAGCATATAAATAAACTATGGTTGACCTAGGGTATGGAATATTAATATGGCACCGAGAAGGAATGAGCTACCAACCATGAAAAGGAAGTGTAAATGTATAGCATTAATGTAAGAAGTCAGTCTGAAAGGGACACACGTTGTATGACTCCGATTATTTGACGTCTTTTATAGGGTAAACTTCAGAGACACTGAAAAGATTAGTGGTTTCCAGGGTCGGGGAAAGAAGGAGTAAATAGGCACCGCATAGAGGAGATTTAGGGTGGTAGGACGGTTCTGTAATGTATTCGAGTGTTCAAGACATCACTATACTTTTGTGGAAGCTCTCAGTATGTCTGACACCAAGACTGAGGCCTCTCGTGAGCTGTGGACTCTGTTAAGAATGTGCCAGTGTAGTCTATCAGCTGTGATGGATGTACCATTCCAGAACAGGATACTGATTGTGGGGAGCATCATATGTATGGGGAGTCTCTATCCTTTCTGCCCAATTTTCCTGTGAAAGCAAAGCTTCTCTAAAACTTTCCTATTAAGAAAAAAGTCAGGTAAACAAAAACCATTAAACACACAGTAATATATGATAAGTGCCAAAACTCTTTACTATAGATGTAAAGCCAGAGGAGTAGCAATTAAAACTTAGGGTTTGTGAGGGTTATTGTTTTATGTCAATTTGTCGCAAGCTAGAGTCATCTGAGAGGAGGGAGCCTCATTTTAGAAAATGCCTCCATAAGATCTGGCTGTAGACAAGTCTGTAGGGCATTTTCTTAATCATTGATGACAGAGGGCCCAGACCAATGTGCTGACTGGGGCTGGTGGTCCTGGGTTCTATAAGTAAGCAGGCTGAGCAAGCCATGAGGAGCAAGCCAGTAAGCAGCACCCCTCCATGGCCTCTGCATCAGCTTCTGTCTCCAGATTCCTGCCCTGTTTGAGTTCCTGTCTTGACTTCCTTCAGTGATGA